AACAGAAAATATTTTCTTCAAAATAATATAAATCAGATTATTTTTGCTTCTGTGTGCCAGAAAAGGACAGAAACTAATGATTATGTATAACTGAAATGAATGACAGCAATGATACAGAGGATATAAGAGTAATTTTGTACTTGTCTTATCTGTGAGGCTGTAGAGTGCTGTTTAAAAGTAGATTTGTATTAGTTATATACATATATATTGCAAACTCTAGTGCAATCATTTTAAAAAGTTTTTTAAAAGTATAATTTATATGCTAAAAAATGAAAAAAATAAAATTATATAAAAATCTTATCAATTAAACCACAAAAGGCAGAAAACAAGTGGAAGACACTTGTAGAAAGAGCAAGGGTGAAAAACAGAAGACAGTAACAAATGGGGTATGGATTAACCCAACTAATCAATAATTGCCCTAAATATCAATTTTCTAAAGATACCAATTAAATGACATAGATTGTCAGAGTGGATTATAAACACTAAGACCCAATCATATGTTTTTCTATAAGAACTGTGCAAGAGAAAGAAACTATTCAAAAAGAAAGAACAAGTGGGATGGAAGAAAGGAGAAAAGAAGGAAGGGAGTTAAAAAAAAAAAAAATATATATATATATACACACATACACATGATAGCTGAGATAATTGTACTACTAATTTCTATTGGTTTATTGAAAGGAACAGTTAATGTTCGTTTCATCAATTTTGCATGCCTAATCTGGTAATCTTGGCAACTACTTTGAAGATAACAATACACAACATAACAACCATTGTTAATTTCCTATCATCTTGTTTTGAAAGTCTCTATTGTTTTTATTGGTTTTTTATTATTTTTAAAATAGATTTTAAAAAAGAACTGTCCCTCCCCACCCCTTTGTGTTTGTTTATTTGTTGTCGGGTATTTTGTTTTGTTTTGTTTTTGAAACAGGGTCACACTGTGTAGTTCAGGCTGGCCTGGAACTCACTATATAGTCCAGGCTAGCCTCAAATTCAGTGATCCTCCTGGCTCAGCCTCCCAAGCACTGGGATGACAAGGATGTGCCACCATATCCTGCCTGCTAAGAAAACCCTTTCAAACACAAAGAAATGTATAGTTGAAAAAGGACAGAGAAAAATAAACCATTCCAACACTAAGCAAAAGAAAGTAGAAGAAATTAATATCAGACAGAGAAGACTTCAAAACAAGAGAATTTATCAGGGATAAACTGGGGTCTTACATAAAAAGCGTATGTGCTTCTGAAGATACATCAAACAGGGAAAAAGTGAGAGAATTTCAAAAGTGATAGATGAATCTACTATTATACTTGGGAACTTTACCACACTTCTATCAGAAATAGGAAGATCTAGAGTGACCCTAGCCAAGTAATTTAATCTTCCTGGTCTGTTTCCAGATCTCTAAGTAAGCTACCTTGCTGATTTGTTATGAGAGTTAAATTAGTAATTTAAGTAAAGTAATTGGTCCATGGCTGGAGATACAGCTCAGTGGGAGAACATTTATCTAGCATGCTCAAGGCCCTGAATGTGATCCCTAGGACTACAAAATAAACAAAGATAAATAGTTCACCCCATCCTTCCACGTAAGTAGAAGTGAATAAAGGGTAACATCATTGGGTATCTGACAACTCTGAGATATGTATCACATCATTATCCCATTTTTACAAAAAAGGAAATGTAGATTCAGGAACTTATCTACAGTCACTATTTAAATGGTAGCTGGCATTTGAATTTAGGAGATTACAGAGAGGGAGAAAGGGGAGCTTAGTGAGGGCATGATAGTGCATGCTTGTAATCCTAGCAATTCTGGAGGCCAAGCCAGAAGGATTGCAAGTTTGAGCCTAGCCTGATGTGTTGGTTTGGGGGATATTTTGCAAGGTGAACAATATAATACAGGACACATAGTTGTAAGATTATTTATAATCGTCACCCAAAGAATGATATAGAAGAGAGTGTAGGAAATCTGTCCACACACTTGGGACCAAAGAATCCAGCTGAGGGCCTGGATCCCACAATGATGTCCTGCATGAGTCCAGCTGAAGACCTAGAGCCTGAAGACCTAGAGCCCATAACAGTGCCTCCCACAAATCCAGGTGGAGGCCAAGATTCCATTACAATATCTCATGCAGGCCTATTTCATGGATTTGCACTGGGAAGGCCCAAAGGTCAGTGGTGGAATCTAGGAAGTCTATGCCAGTAATATGAAGGATCTGTGCTAGTAGGCTGAAGGAGCTGCACTAGAGCTAGGAAGCAATGAGCAAAGTAGGAACCACAGCTCCCCTGGAAAGTACTACAGCCATCCTCAGCAACAGTGAGGTCCCGAGCTCCTCCAATGGTGAAGACAACTGAGTTCCCATCAGGAAAGCCAATCCAGCAAGCTTCTCCAGGAGACTGGCAGTGCGCACCATCTTCCCAACTGGAGTCAGGAAGTGATGTTCATAGTGAGAACCAGAGCTCCCCCAAAGTGAACTTAAGCTATTCTCAGTGCAAACAAGGTCCTGAGCTCCTCGGAGGATGAAAATAGCCAAGTTCATCAGGAAAGCCAGCATGACAAGCCCCTCCAAAAGAACCAACAGATCTTTACAGCTTCTACCAGCTCCCAACAGCCTTTCTCTGCTCCAATAGCCTCTTTCAGTTCCCAATAGCCTAACTTCTTCTTCTCCAGTTCTGCCTCTTATGCTGCTGGCAACAATCCTCAGACAGACCTCCCACACCCAGCACCATGCTTACGCAGTTCAGCTGGGGGTTATAAGTTGACCACCAGTTGTCAATCCACTACACCTGAACAATGTAGATAGCTAGTGAGATCCTGTCTCAAAACTTTAAAAAAAAAGAGCTGCATATATAGCTCAGTGCAAAGGGCCTGGGTTCCAAGTATCATAATAAATATATAGAAAAAAAGAAAATGGATGCTATCTGCTACCTTGAGATCAGAATGTTAAATGAAATCAAATACATAAACAAAATTTCATAATTTTCTTATATGAGAAACTCAAAATATAATTTAAAAAAAAAACACTAAAGTGAAAGACAACAGGAAAAAGAGACTGATCTTTTGCAAATGAAAAGAGAATCTAAAGAACAAAGGAGGGGGAAAGTGGGAGAGGACAGAGGATAAAAAGAATTCAAATGAGCCAGGCACAGTGTACACACCTGTAATCCCAGCACTCAGGAGGCTGAGGCAAGAGAGTTGCCATGAGTTTGAGGCTTGTCCAGGCTACATAAGGAGTTCAAGGCCAATTTTAGAATTAGGTGTGAAATATAATGAAGGTCTTGGCAGGGGTGAAATGCATTGGACAGAATGCCAGCACTGCCATTCAGTATTGGAAATTGTAACAGAGGAGATGCTACAAGATGCTATGAAATACAGAAAGGTAAAAATGCAAGTAAAATGTTTTGTATGCAATAACAGCCATATTCAAAAATGTATTTATTATGATACCTCACTAGCTGAACTGAAAGCATTTGTAGGTCTGTTGTACTTAGTACAGATTTCTCATGATGATAGTAGGAATATAAAAGATTTATGGAAAAGCAGTGGGTCAAAATACGGCATAAAGATTTATGCCCCAGTGGATGAAAACTTATGATGTTTTGAATTTAGACATTTATCATTAAACTCAGCCATCAGGGCCTTGTTAGTAGAGTAATAACCCGAATGATGTTGTGAACAGACTTGTTGCCCCCATCTCCCAAACTAATTAGAACATGATTTCTGACAATTGGTTTACCCATTCCCAATTGATGTTACATTTGCTAAAAGACAACAAGTTGACAAGGCAGACTATACACAGAAGCAAAGCAGAAATTCCAAATGAAATGTCACAGTTTCAAAACAGAATTGTATAGTGCAATTTTTCAGTTTCAGAAGGCTCTAACATTGGCCTCAAACATGGCAAAAAAAGGCAAACTGGTACTGCTGACGTCAGCATTTCACCATGATGGAAATATTGATAGGGAAACCTCAACAAAACAGAAGGCTGAGATGGAAACTTTCAACAACAAAACCAAACGTGGAGTAGATGTTGATGAATTATGCAGTAACTATGATGTCACTTAAAACAGAAAGCATTGGCCAATGGGTGTGCTTTACTCCATCCTGTACATACATACATAGTTTGATGATTTACAAAGAAAATAAGTGCAAAATATCATGGAAAATTTTTCTTAAGAGGATTGGGACTGGAGCTCTTAAGAGATCATTTAAAACAGAGGAGAAACAAAATATTTCTGCCCAAAGAATGATGAAAAAAAAATTGTGGATCACACTGGTGAGCTAACAGATGAACAGGCATCACAACAACCTACTACAGCAATAGGAAAATAAAAAGATGTCAACTGTGCCTAAAAGAAAGTACAAGAAAACAAAACATACATACTATCAGTATAAGCCACACTTGTGTATGAAACATGCAGCTGTCATGTGTGAAGACTGCCTTGGCCATGACCATTGAAGCAAAGCTTATTTCTGTGGTAGGCTTTTGTGTTTATACTGTACTTCACCTAAGATTTTATTTTGGATGTTATCTTTTAGGTTTTGTAAACAAGTAAGCACTCATTACATATTTATATTGTATTTTATTGACATCTTATTTCTTTAAGTGCATGTTGCACAATATAGTAGGAAGCTCCTGACAAAACAAGAGAGGTGACAAGACTGCCACATAGGAAAGTCAAGCACATGTACTGTCAGTGTAAACAAGATGTGTGCATGGAACATGCAGGTGTCACGTGTGAAGATTGCCTTGGGTGTGACAACTGAAGCAAAGCTTATTTCTGTGGTAAAGTTCTGTTGTACTTGGGGTTTACAAGGGAAAAAATTTAATATAGGAACATAATTAATAGGATTATTTTATAATTGTCACCCAGAGTCAAATGAAAAGGGATGTGGGAGATCTGTCTACACAACAGAGATCCAAGGAATCCAGGTGAGGGCCTGGATCCCACAGCAATGTCCTGCATGGGTCCAGCTGAAGAACTAGAGCCCATGGCAATGTCCTCCACAGGTCCAAGTCAAAGACATGAGCCCAAGATGATGTCTCATGCAAGTCTGTATCAAGGATCCACACTGCAAAGGCCCAAAGGTCAGTGGAGAAAGCTAGAGTCTGCACCAGCAGGATGAAGTATCTATGCCACTAGGCTGAGGCATCTACACTGAAGCTAGGAAGCAACGCTCAAAAGTAAGAACCAGAGCTCTTCCAAAAAGAACCACAGCCATCCCCAGTGACAGTGAGGTCCCAAGCTCTTCTGATGATGAGACCAGCCAAGTTCATATCAGGAAAACCAACACAACAAGCTTCTCAAGGAGAATCAACAGCACATCATCTTCCCCCTCCAGTTCTTTCTATGCCATTGGCAACAATCCTCAGATGGGCCTTCCACACCCAGCACCACACTAATTCAGTTTAGTTAAGTGTTACAAGTTGACCATTTTATCCACCACAAGTTCTATTGCTATTTTTATTGTAGTTCATATACAAATTTATTTCAGAAGTTCTTCTAGTTTTTTTAAGGAAGTATACAGCCAATGTGAAAATGTTGCTATCTATTCTAAATGCACAATATGTACTAAAAATCTAATATTTTATTGATATTTTAGTTCCTGTTAACTATATACTGTAATTAGAACCTCCTGAGAAAACAGCAAGACCACTGAGATGTCAAATATGTCCTACAAAAAGGCCAAGAAAGCAAAATACCTGTGCTGTCAGTGTAAGTGATGTGTGTATGGAATGTGCTGTTGTCATGTGTGCAGACTGCATTAGGTACCATAATTGAAGTAAAGATTACTTCATTGTAGCATGCTATTGGCATTTTCATTGTATTTCATTTGGGAATTTATTTCTGATGTTCTTTTTTAGACTTTGTACACCAAAAATTAGTCCATGTTGAAAATTGTTTTTTATAAACATTCAGTATTAAAAAATACTTTGTGGTATTTTTCCTGTTTAAGTACTCATTATTTAATAAAACTCATAAAATTATAATAATTTGATAGAAATATTAAAGAATAAACATGGGTGTAACAGACCCATGTTTATGCACCTTGATGACAAAATTAAGTTTTATGCTTCAAGGGCTACTACAAGATACACAACTACAGGCTGGGGACATAGCTCAGTGGCATAAGTGCCTGCCTGGCAAGCACAAGGTCCTGAGTTTGATTCCCGGTACAAAATAAAAATAAAAATAAAAATAAAAAAAGATATACAAAGAATGTACAACATAAACAAAAGATATAAGGATGTACAAAAGATGTAAAAACAAACAACATTGGCTCATGATGGCCTCCCAGAGTCAGATGTGGAAGAGTACAAAAGCTCTGTCTGCATGCTAGAGATGTGAAGCATCTAGTCCAAGGTCTGGAGCTCACTATAGTGTCCTGTGCAAGTCTGTATCATGAGGTTAAAGGATCTGCAATGGAAGACTGAAGGGTCTGCACTGGAAACCAGATGACATCCAAGGTGAAGGTGAAGACTAGAGCTCCTTCAAAGAAACAGAAGCAGCTTTCTTAATTTCCCTTTTATACCACTCTAGTGACAATCCTCCCTAGGGGTGGCTCTTCTACACCCAGAACTATGCTGAGCCAATTTAGTTGGGTGTTTCTTACTCAAGTTGATACTATCAGTTAACTTTCACATACACGCAAATAAATATATGAAAACACGCTAAATGGCACATGCCTTAGGGAACTGTAGATTAAAATGAGGTACCAACACACACCTAGACAATGACCAAATCCTAAATCCTGATAACACAGATGCTGTCAAGAATGTGGAGTAACAGAAACTTTCATCACTGCTGCAGGAATGCACAATGACACACCCACACAGTCACTTCAGACAATAATTTGGCAGTTTCTTACAAAATGAACCAGCTGGTGGGTGTGGTGGCACACACCTGTAATCTCAAGCACTGAGGAGGCTGACACAGGAAAGATCATAGTGAGTTTGAGCCCAGTACATAGTGAGCTACATAGTGAGTTCAAGGCCAGCCTACACTACAAAGGCCCTGTTTAAAAAAAAAAAAAAGTCTTACTATATGACCCAGTGATCATGCTCCTTACCCATCCACACAAAAGCATGAAAACTTCCATCCACACAAAAACATAGATATTTTCAGCAGCTTTAGTGCTAACTGCTATAAACTAGAAGCAATCAAGATGTCCTTCTGTGTTCCTAGCTGAATGGATAGTGTTGCAGACAATGGAATTCAGTGCCAAAAAGAATTAAGTATCAAGCTATGAAAAGACTTGTGAAACAGGAGGAAAAAGTTCAAATGGAAAGGGAAACAAGGGAGGGGGAAAGGAAGCAATGGAAAAGGAAAATAACGATTAGAAAAGAAGGAAAAATGGAAGCAAAGCTTTTGTAAACGAGGGGGAAAGGGTTGAAGGGAGGGTAGGGGAATGGGAGAAAAAAAAGAATCAAGTTATATCATGTACAGGTGCAAACTCCCTATAATGAATGTGATCATTATGTATACCTAAAATGTACCAATAAACTATAAATTTTAAAATGTGGTAAAAATTACATGCATATGATTAAGTGAAAGAAGTTAAAATGGCTGCACAATGTATGATGCTGTTATGGTTTATGTCTGGGTGTCCCCCCAAAGCCTCATGCGGCCATGGGGCAGGCTTTTAAAGTTTGATTGATTAGGGGTGTGAGAGCTGCACCCGCCCTGGGATGGACAGTTTGCATATGTAAGGGAGAGGAAAAGGGTGCTTGAGGCCATTCCTCCCCCATTCCTTGCTGGTGTGTGCTGGTTGCTTTTGCTGTTGTCTGCCACCCTGAGCTGTAGCTCTCTGCCAAGTGCCACTCTGCCTTATAATCTGCCAAGTATGGACTGAAACCTCCACGAACTGTAAGCGAAATAAACCTTTCCTTCCTTAATTTTGGGAGTCAGGTATTTTGTCCCAGCAACAAGAGAAAAGTAACCAAGACAGAATTTGGTACCAGAGGAGTGGGGTCATTGCTGTGACTATATCTGACCATGTGGTTCAAGAGCCTTGGGAAATGGCTTGTGGGGAGTGTTTGGAAAGGTTTGGAGTTGTCGCCTGAAAGAGAAGTACTAGAACGCCTTTGGCTGTTCTGTTTGGGAGATTCTGGTCAGAGTTCAGAAGACCAGAAAGCTAATAGAAATCTTGCCAGTAATGACCAGGTTTGGGAGGTTTCTGCTGGGAAGGACTGCATTGGTTGTTGGACTCCAGATGATGTGTGTTATGGCTTGGCAGAAAGTTTGTCTGCATTTTGCTCATGTCCAGAGACTTTGCCTAAGACTGAGATTAAGGACGGCAGCTGACTGATTAATCTGGCAAAAGAAATATCAAGGCAGTCAAACGTTGGGGCAGTAGCATGGCTATTGTTGGGGGCTTTTAGCCAGATTTATATTGAGAATCAAGAACAAAGAGACCAGCAGGATGATTTAAAATGTTGTGAGTTTGACCAGAAAGGAAGCTCCAGTCATGCTGTGGACTGCAAAGATAAGACTGAGGAGCTCTCTATTGCTGAGAAGGAACAAGAGAATGGAAAAGATGGCCTGAGGGCATCACAAGCAGCAAGTCTCCACCCTTTGCAGCCTCAAAACTGCAAAGGTGAAAGACCTTGCTTTGAGAAAAAAAGCTGCTGAGTGCCAGGTTCCAGAATGGTGGCAGCATAGAGAATCTGCTCCTCAGAATTGGATTCAGAGTGGCCAACAATCCAGGCACTCTACCTCTGTGGCCAAGAGAGAGGAAAACTTGGCTACTGCTCCAGGTGGCAGCAGACCTTGGCATCATCCCCGTGGCCCTGGCTTTAGGTGCATGGAGAATGCAGGAGTTCTGAGGTTTAAGAGGCTCCAACCCAGATTTCAGAAAGCCTGGGAGGCCAGGCAGTGTGCCCCTGAGAGGGCAATGTGTGAGGCTGAGAGTGTGAAGCAAAAGGTGCCCTGGAGACCTCAGAAGTTTAGAAAAGCCAGGACCGTGGATCACCTGAGGAGAGCTGAAAGGAGGGAACAAAGCAGGCCTAAGAGAGAAGCTGTGGCAGCTGTAACCACCAAAAGTGCCACAGGGGTGGACTCATGCAAGCACTTTGGAGCTCACAATGTGCCACAAGTTGCTTCAGATGCTGCATGTGGAATTACAGGACATAATGTTAGCCCTGCTGGATTTTGGACTTGCTTTGGTTCCAATGCTCTGTGTCCCCGTTTGTACCTTTTGGAATGGTACTGCTTATTTTGTGCCATTGAATGTTGGAAGTGTTTAACTTTTCATTTGTGCAGGGGCGCACAGCTAAGAGTTTGCCTTACATCTTGGAGGAGACTTGGGACTTGGACTCGTCAGCAATGCTGAAACTCTTAGGACACTGGCAACTCTTGCAGATGAATTAAATGCTGTTTGTATAAAGGGATGGGCATGAGTCTTTGGGAGGCCAGGGGTGGAATTTTATGGTTTATGTCTGTGTGTCCCCCCCAAAGCCTCATGCGGCCAGGGGGCAGGCTTTTAAAGTTTGATTGATTAGGGGTGTGAGAGCTGCACCCACCCTGGGATGGATAGTTTGCATATGTAAGGAAGAGGAAAAGGGTGCTTGAGGCCATTCCTCTCCTTTTCCTCGCTGGTGTGTGCTGGTTGCTTCTGCTGTTGTCTGCCACCCTGAGCTATAGCTCTCTGCCATGTGCCACTCTGCCTTATAATCTGCCAAGTATGGACTGAAACCTCCACAAACTGTAAGCAAAATAAACCTTTCCTTCCTTAATTTTGGGAGTCAGGTATTTTGTCCCAGCAACGAGAGAAAAGTAACCAAGACAGATGCTAACTATAGGAACATTTTGGTAAAAGAGTAAAAAAAAAAAAAAATCAGTGGTTCCCAGGAGTTAGTGGACCTGGGTGGAACAAAAAGGCAGAGCAAGAATGACTTTTGGGGCCATATTCTGTATCATACTGTAATGGTGGCTATGTCATTCATTATACATTTGTTGAAAGTCATACAGTAATTAGTATGTACTAATAAAAATATTTTTTAAAAAGAACCCATTATCTGTTCAACACCAAGAATGAGTCCTAATATAAACTGTGGACTTCTGGTGATAATGGTAGGTCCATGCAGGTTATCAACTGTACCAAATGTACTGTGGTATGAGATGTTAATAACTTTATTGGTTAGGGTTCTCTAGAAGAGACTCAACAGCCTAAAATATTTAATGGGGCCCAAAGCCACAGAACAAGAGGGATCAAGAGTGCAGTCAGTTGGAGACTGATGGCTAGAGGCTCCCTGGAGTCACTGGTACAAGTCCGCAATAAAAGACAGCAGCATCTGGAGTCTGATGTCCACAGGCAATGGCACCAGCAAAAGACACACCACAAAGGGGAATCTAGGGACAGAGGGACAGGGGAAAAAAAAAGGACTAAAATGTGATATGGAAAGTACCAACTCCCCATGATGAATTTATTCATTCTGCATCACAAATATGTACTAAAAAAAAAAAAAAAAAAAAAGACATCCACTCAAGCAGAATAGAACTTTTAAAAATAGTGACCAACTTCTTCCTTCTCCTTTTAATTCCACCTGGGCTAGGAGCCTACTTAATAGTGTCACCCACACGTGGGTGGGTCTTGCCCCTCAATTTGCTGACCTATGTGTCAGTTATCTCTGGACACATTATCAGACACACCTGAAAGTGCTTTATTAACCTCCTAGGCATGTCTTAATCCAGTCAAGTTGCAAAAAGTTAAGGCTGCTCATGTGTGAGGTTAAGCCTGCCTTCCACTTGATTCTGCTGTGAGACTAAAACTGCCCTAAAGAAGTCTATTTAACAAGCCAACATGAGGTAGGTGGCCCAACCCGAAGGCAGAATCCCTGGACTGACTGTTGCACTTAACCTGGTACTTTGCAAGAAGTAAAGGTAAGAATCAGGCCTACTAACCTGCTATGATCTAGTTAGAAAGAATGTGCAAGTAGACAGGCCCAATTTACTCTTGCTCCTGTGTCCTTAGCTCTCGGATGTACTAGTCACTTTTCTCTCCCCACTTTTATAACTTGTTTATCTTGAAAGTAACCCCATCAGCTGCAGGCTATCCAGTGATGTCAACACCATGGCTCCACAGCCTGTGCTCTAAAATACCAGGACCCAAAAGCAGTTCCATCATGGATTTCGGCTATCTCTCTTGGCAAGGATTGTGATCAGGGAGATTACTCACCCTGTAGGTGGGTGACAGGAATGGAAAGGAGCCTAGACTCTTACATGAAACCCCAATTCAATATGAAAGCTGACCAGAGTGAAACTCAGTCCTACTGTACACTTTCCAAAAGGGACTCCCAAGGGCTTGAACCTGGCATTGTCCCCTGCCCAAAACAATGAACAGGACCAAAGATTCAGAAAAGATCAAAACATAAGAGATCCACATCTCACCCTGCCAAATTTCTGGGAACAGACCTCATTCTTTCCTTTGTGGGTTTCAATTTCTCTACTTACACAATTATATTCAAGCAGTTTTAGATATATTTGGCTTCTACTTACATGAAAACTTAAATGACCCACTTCCCACAACTCCTCACCAACGGCCACAGAAGTAAAGCATCCATACACAACTAAGGGCAACTTATTCTTTATTGATTAAAAATGAAGAAAACATGCAGTAAAATACAAAGTCAAAAAGGGGGAAAGTTAAATATTTTACATCTTCCATAATCTAGCATACATCACGAGGAGGAACCTCCATTTATCAATACACTGTTATTCTGTCCTCCAGATTATTAAATAGTACCAGCTGGCTCTAGGATTTGGTTCAAAATTTAAGTAAAACTCCTCATTAGTCCTTTAGAAAGACCACACATTTCACAGATAGCATTGGCACATATTACCTTGTGCTATATAGTTAATATAGCTATATACTCCAAGGACAAGGGTATCCTGGGGACCAGGAGCACTCTGAACCACAACTCCTGGAAAGGTTGCTTGCTGTTCCACCTGGGCAGTTTCTGTTCATCTGCTTTCTCAGCATCACTGTACAAGCCAGAAGGAATTCACCATACATCATGTGGAAGAAGAAATAACACTGTCCTGAGGCTGGGGGAGGTCTGTCTCCTAACTCCCAAAAGGGCAACTGAACTGAAAAAGAAAGAGAAAGCCCCAGGCCACATCTGTTGTTAGGCTTGTCTCATTGAGGTTCAAAGGTACGGTGGCTGGAAAAAGTGAACAAAGGACAGACTGCTGCTCATGCCTAGCCCAATGTCAGACCACCCCCAATCATAAGCCAGAACAGGTTTGAGCCCCCTCCCAGGTTTATAAATAAGTAGAGTTTAATGGCTTTGTTTGAAACCAAAAAACGGACTATGCAAGCCACTGATCTTGTGCCAAAGAGGACATTATCTACTTTTTCATACTCCATTCCCACTTCCCTGACCTTCATCTCCACTCCCTATCCCCACAAAAAGAAAAACACAAACTATTTTTCCAGAAAGCTGATCAATCTTTTCTCTCCCTCCTGACTCAGAACGCTTCCTTCTTTAACCAATCCTGCTAGGACCTTGGACTTGGAGTCTAACCTTCTAATCTACTTTCCTCCCAAACCTCATCCCAAATCCATCCCCTTTCCCTTCCCACCATCCACCCCTTTCCCAACATGCCTCTGTACCCAAGCAGGTAAAGAATGCCCATGACTAAAGCTACAGGCTCAGAAAAAATGAAACAAAAGGCATGACAAGCAGTTATGGGGAAAACTGTCAGATGTTCCAAAAAAACCTAGGTAATCTTGTTCTTCAGATCAACAATACTGGAAAGGGCTCAAGTGATTCTATAAAAGGCAACTCTCTCCTTTCCATGGGCCTAAAGCCCACTTCTGTGTGTCTCTTTAAGGCCAGATCAAGTATCCTATTCATATATAAAACCTGGTAAGTTGGTAGGGTTATTAATTGTTAGACAAAGACTATGAAATAGAAGGAAAAAAGGAAAAATCAACCCCATTGATTATTCACATATTGCATTATGAGTGCTCCTTTTTAAACCTAAAGAATAAGTTATATAATTTCTGTAAAAAATCAAATGAACACTGTCTACTCATAAAACCTAAAGGTCACGGCACATGTGGCTTCACTTTCCATCATGAGTCGGGTTTAGCGCACAGGGACCCCCTCCAGAGAGTCAGTGCAGGAGAGGGGCAGAAGGCAGGCCTCTGGCCCAGGGTGAGTCTCCTTTATTGCTGTAGAAATCTCAGCCTTGCACACTCACTTCCTTGTGACTTGGAGGCCAGGTGAACTGATTTTCATAGGAGGATCGAGGAGCAGTTTTTCTTCAATGTAATTTTTTAAAATTTGAAAATAAACACTTCAACAATGAATTCTGATTTTTCTTTTCAAAAACCACCTCTGGCAAAATTTACTTTTACAAGCCATTACTTGATATAATGGAAAATGCACTTGTAATGCAAAAACAGTACAAAGTTCCACTTTGAAGAATCTGATGGCTGAAGTTTGACTACAGTCAGATGTTTTGCACCAGCTGAAGTTAAGGCTAGCAACCCTTTTGGAGGGAGCAATGAAGAAGGGGGTGCCTGAGAGCAGCTTCAGCAAAACACTTAAGAGACACCATGAACAAAACAAGAACACAGTTTAGGCTGCCTCCATCAGAGGCTGTGCTTTTTTCTAACAAAGGTTGTTAGAATTCACATCAGGTACAAAGAAAAAACACTAATTAAATTCTCTGGGCTCCTGCTGAACAATCAACTTTTAATTGCTACTTCAATGGTAAAGAGATAACCCAAGATGCCCACATTGTGGCAGGTGTGAGAACACGCAAGATGAGGACATCCATAGAGCTGCTACTTTCCACCTGGGCCATCACTGGAGTAAGGCAAGAACAAGCTGAGATCTCCCTCCTGGCCTTGAGGCACATGGGTCACTTCTCAGATGGAGGAAGATAGGGGACGTGTGCAGCACGTTTATTAACGGAACTCTTTAAGGGGATGCTGACCACTGGTGACCCAACTGTTCTCTCCCAGCAGGGAAAAGGGGGAAGGATGGCAGGAAAAACAAAGAACTCTAAAGCTCCTAGATGGGAGGTTTGTTGCTAGGTTCTTTGGCAGTAGTGGGTTTAGGCCAATAGAAGCAACAGAGATATGCTGTGTGGAATCTCCTTAGGCCACTTCTTGCAGGCCTGTGGTTTAGCTGATGCTGAGTTGGGCAAATCCTATTAGTTTGCCATCATCAGGAATATCCGAGCCTTCAACACCAGATGCCTGAGAACCAAACAAAATGATAAGCTGTAGCTATTTATAAACAAAATTGCAACTTATAATTAAAACTGGTAAGGGATTATAGAAAGGAAGGCAGTGGGTAACTGGTTCCTGGGATATAAATGGGAGGCTGATGAAGGTGTTTTCTCCAGGAGAGAAGGGGGCTGGGTACATAGATGAGTCAGACTGGGTTATTGAACACAGGCTTGGGGTCAGAGGTTCTGAGAGGGAGAAAGGAAGACAAGCCACTCAAAGCGAGACATCAGCTCAGGACTAACTGAGGATAACCCACTATACTCTTAATATTCTCATCATTCAGAGGGTATAAAAACTGATCTGCCAAGGCTGCTGGTGTGTAAAAGGTAAGATGGTTTAGTAACGAGAAAGCAATGAATACCAGTTTGAAAGTGACAGATCGATTTGACTGAGGTTCTTCCACAATTTTCTGCAAATTAGCGGCCACTGTAATCATAAAAAAGAGAAAATCATGAATGAGAAACTATGTAAATCCACTTTAATCATATTTAGGAAGCTTAAATGCTGGTTGATAATCTTCTATGTAAAACAAAAATGTAGGGGAAAAGATCAAACAATCATTTCCCAAATGAAAGTATCTTTTAAACTCATCTCTGGCTGTACAAATATAAATCTTGAATCACTGTCAAATTAACTTTCTTTAAAATGTATTAAGTAGCGTAAGACAGGCATCAGGTGAAAGAGGTACAATCTGCCTGTTCATGAACCAGAAAGCCTCAGAGTAGGAACCAATGAAGTATGGTCTGTGGCCTGCTTCTGTGCTGCCTGCAAATTAAAAATGGTTTTAAAATGACAGTAACGAGATGGCCCACGAAGCCTGAACTACAGTAAGTCCGTGACTTATGAACATTCAAACTACAAAATATCACCGGTATACTGTGAGAGGCTCACTTTGTCTGGCTTACAAATGGATCTGACTTATGAACGTTCTCCCAGAATGGAGCTTATTTGTAAGTCAGGGACTATGTTCACTACCCGGCTTTTCACATGAAAACTTTGCTGACCTATCAGAAATGATGGTCTTTACCATCAGTAACACATATTTGTGGCTGACCTAACCCTAACCCTCTTTCCCTCCTTCTTGCTTTTTCTAGAACTAAATCACACTGTGTACCACAATGATATATACCAAAATAGAAATAACCTGTGACTCTTGTCGTCATTTCTACTACAGTGTCCCAGAGGTCTGGGTGTGCTTTCATCTACTGTATCAGAAGTCATAAAGCAAACTCAGAATGAGACGGGGTTTTTGGTAAAGAACTATAATGAATAAATGTCATTTCCACCAAGCCAAGAACCATTTCAAGAATCTGCTGACCTATTCAATGGATTGGAATTCTGGCTTTCTAGGTGCTAAGGACATAGAGACACAGAGGGACAAGGGCAAAGCACAATATAGTTACCTATTACTAAATCTCTTCCATCGACCAAGCCAGCAGAAATGAGTTCCTGAGAGACGCCTTCTGCTGTATCTGCAGGGACAGAGAAGAAAGTGCTCCATTTCTTGTGCATACAGGTCACTGTTAACTCTAAGTCAGCATGGGTGGCAGCACTGCCAGACCCAAGCTAACTTCTACATTCACAGAACAAGAGGCAGGAGGCTGTTCCTTTACTGGGGATTACCTCAAGTGAGGAATTCTCACAGGTCTGGATAGAGGACAGAATCTATACAAACTAGGTACCAAATATCAGCTCGAAGTACAGATAACTTTTAAAGCGATGTAAGACATGGGCTCAGGCCCATGTCAGAAGAGCCCCAAACAGTGATATTACAGAAAAAAACTATTTTCGAGATCCCTGGACTTGAGCTATCTAGCTCTGAGCCGTGAAAGTGAGTATCGAACAACTCCAGTGCTAATAACAAAGAGGATTTATTCTCAAGAAAGAACAAACTGCAATCCCTTCTCTTTGAGGATCCTGTTTCAAGTTTTTTGCTAAAATCATTTTCTTTTTTATTCTAGTAGCTTTTCTGCTTACCCAGTCATCTTAGGTGATACAATGTAAGCAATGGGTATAACTAGAAACTAAAAAGACAAGGACAGACTCCTCCCTAATTAATTTCATATTCACCTGACTCAGTGGTATTGGCTTTTGAGGGCTAGACACTGAGCCTCACATCCTCACAGAAGACCAGCAATTTTAATTAATTCCTGAAAATGTGACTGCTTGGCTCTAAAAAAAAGTAAAACATACATCTCTGTATGTTTGCACCTGCTCTCTTTAATCGTCAGTTGCTGGCACTAACACAGCCGAAAGAGTAATATGGGACACCAAACAGATATCTGCTGGCTGCCTAAATAAACACCCTATGTAACAAAGGCAAGAAAAACAAAAACTAAGCCTCGTTCCAGGGTGAAGTTCACCATCAGGAACACCACATGACAAGGTTCACTTTCCGTGTGACAACAAAGTAGACTGGAGGCCTCATTTCCTCTTTACTCTCACAAGAAATAAGCATGCACAGAGATAAGGGCAAGGACTTTACACCTCAGAAAATCTTGTTTGAACACCAGCTACCTCTTTCCAGCTGTGTAGTCTATTTTACCTCTCTCCAACTTTTAGTCTCATAGTCTGTCAAAGAGAGTAATTTCTTTTTAGGGGGCTGATATGATAGTTTAAGGCGATAAGGCTTAGCACAATGCCTGGCCCCAAAAAAACAATAAATAAGAGATGTATTCATTACTATTTATATTATATTAGGCTTTCCAAATGAGTTTTGTAATACATTACCTGCATTTTTATTTTATTCATATGTCTGCCAAAACCTAAACAAAGTAATTTTTACCATTCTTTAAAAGCAAATCTAAAGACCAAAAAATTCACATTTAATTAAATAACAAAATCAAAGTTGTTTTCAATCTCTTTGATACTTCACCTCTCCCAGGAGTAAATTCAAATCGAATATCATTTAGTTCTTTTTTGGAATTCCTATGAAAGAAAACAGAATGAATAGAAGACTCTAAACTGACACATACAGAGTCCACCTAGATACCAGAAGAACTGTGCCTTGGAAAGACTGTTCTGTACCCACAAATCACGTAATGTGCAGTGGATGTGCTCACACTGCAGGGCTCAGAGTTGGGAACCATCATCTGTCTTGCAAGCCTCTGAATTTGTGTTCCCCACTCATCAATGTAAAAATCTCATAAACACTCACTCTCATCCTTTTTTCTAGTAAGATGATGCTATGCTTTGAATGAGTTCCACAAAGTTCATGTGGTAGAAATTTAATCCTCAATGTAAGACTGGAGAAGTGGGACATTTTTGTGGGTTTTTTTTGAGACAGGGTCTCACTATATAGTTCAGGCTGGCCTTGAACTCACTATGTAGCCCAGGCTGGCATCAAACTTCCAAGAATCCTCCTGCCTCAGCCTCCTGAGTGATGAGATTACAAGTGTGTGCCACCACACCTGGCTCTGAGGCGGGACTTTTAAGAAATGATTAGCTCACGAGGGCTCTGCCCTCCTAACTGGATTAATGCCACAGGGTGAGTTTGTTATAAAACTGAATTTAGCCACCTCTTGTTCTTCACCTATGAGATAAGGAAGTATAAAGGCCCTCAACATATGTGGGCCTTTCAACTTTTGATTTAATCAACTTCTAGAACTCTAAGAAATAATTTTCTGTTCTCAATAATGACCCAGCCTTGGGTATATTGTTTTAGCAATATATGATGAACAAGGACAGATGATCATGTAAAACTAAGAGAAGCCAGGCACTGTAACACACACTTGTAAGCCCAGCACGGAAGGAGGCTGAGGGCATGAGGATATCAAGCTTGAGTCACATCAGGGCAACTTACCAAGACCCTGTCTCAAAATAAAAATCAAAAGGGCTGGATCCCCAATATTGTGAAATTTTTTTTAAAAAAACTATGAAAACTCTATGCAAGCACAAAGAAGTGTAATTAAAATGATATAGCCATGTTTTCCAGCTTTATTCCCCACTCCCAGATCACCGGGACAGCACCTTGCCTGTTTCTGATGATCAGTCAGGGCAGATTCATGAAATATATGATATCCCCTCAAATGCCACAGAATTCAGAAAAGAACACATGAGAGTGGCAAGATGAAGAGAAATTTTGGAGGTTCCTTTTAGATAGGACTGGAAATCCTGCCCAGTCCTGACTGATGAGGTAGTTACAGTATTGTGATCACTACACCATGTACTGAGATTGACCAGCTTTCCTAGAAATTCTGGTTGAAGGTAGAGGAGCTGAAAGATCATGTCAAAAGAAGACACACCTGATTACCTATGAGCCAAATCCATCATGTCTAAACAAAGTACAGGGTTTTAGTCTATTTGACAAATAAAATACTTGAGCATTTCACTGCAGTCATGGTTAAAACTCAATGACTCACCTCAAACGCAAGCTACTCATATGATTTTCTCTTGCAATGCCTTCTCTCTACACTAATACAAAAAGACTGAAGCTACCTTTCTGCTGCACAAGCAGATGCTACAAATCAGCATCTAACTTAGACCTGATTATTAAAGGAGCCATTTAACTTCATCAGTGGGAAAAAAGAATCCAGCCTTCTATTTCCATAAACAGTCTGGAACATTGCTCATTAAAAGCCCCTCTCGGGGGCTGGGGATTTAGCTCAGCAGCAAAAGAGCCTGCCTGGCAAGCGCAAGATCGTGAGTTCGGTTCCCAGTACCAGAGAAAAACCAAAAAAAAAACCAAAAAAAAACAAAACCAATAAAAGCCCCTCTCCTCAGAAAAGGAAACTGCATCACTTACAAACACCTTCACTTTCCTGCAATACACATGCTACAAGACTTTGAAAGAAATTTCTTTAAAGAGACAACTATTATTTACTTGTGTATTATGAAAATAGGATAAGATTACCACAGTATCCTGTTAATTCAGAACTATTTAAAATGAGACTAGCTTTATGGAGTAGGTTCTGTAAAAGAAAGAAACCAGATCTTCTTTCTTCACATTTATGGCATAATTTTACTGCTCCTAGTAAGATCAAAAGCTTCTTAAAACGGCTCTCACCACCTCAATCTCTAATAATCACCTTACTGAGACAACTAGGAATTCACGAGTACAGTGGGGCACTGGTCAATAGTAATTCAGTGAGACACTTTTTATATGTCAGGAATAGTTAAGAAGGACTGGGCTGTCTCATGTGATGCTGTTTTTAATATTTTTTCAAATGCATTTATGAGTAGAGAGAGAACTAAATGCAGTAATATAGCAGCCATGGTTATTCTGACAAGAAACTCTAGAATCCTAATCCAAGTTCATGCTAGCATGGGATATGGGGGTGTAATGGTTTATCTTGACCGCTGACTTGACTGGCTTGAGATGCCTAAAGTGACTAGTAAAACACTCTGAGTGTTTTAGGGGCAGGACCCTGGGGACTGTATTTGGTCCCTACCTCTTTCCCTCTGGTGCTCTGCTTCCCAGAAGTCATGAAGTGAGCAGCTTTGCTCTATTCTGCCCTTCTGCCGTGATGTTCCTGCCATGGAGCCAGCCACCCAGGGACTGACTCCTCTGAAACCATGAGCCAGTACAAACCTCTCCTCTGTAGTGTGTAGGTACTGGGTATCTTGTCCCAGCACTGGAAAAGCTGACCAATACAGGGGAGTTTAAAACACACCTGGTGTGTTTACCCTACTGGTCAGGACTTCTCTATATGCTCCCAATAAAAACTACCTATTATTCTCTCTGTTTTATTTGCTATAAAACAGAGAAAATATCAAAGGTATGTTCAGAAGTTTTTCTTTTCATCTTTATTTGATCCAACATAATCATAAAACCAGTCAGTCCCCTCCTGAGTTAGTTGATCCTTGAGTCCATGATGCTCATATGATCACATTATCCAAGAACTCAGATGGTGCTATACTATTCATCTCAAAATTGTTCTTCACTTACAGACCATGCTACATAACCCTGACTAGCTATACTACCAATGTACATACCAGCCACTATTGCCTAGGAAACAACTAAAAGTACCTATGTACCAGTCAGTTCCAGTGCTAGTTAACAGCCAGGTGTTCACACTGTTGCTATTATTTCTGAGGAAAATAATACACCTGGAAAGAAAGAGCAACTAATGGTCAGAACATACACAATCCTATCCAGTTACTTTCATGCACAGACAACTACAACTTCTACAGAGCACTCACAAAACACTTACCTTAATCTTAGTACTAGACTGATAGGGACCTTGGTTTCTTGTGAACCTGCTCCAGAAGACAGAGCCTAAAATGCATTAAAAGTATTAAAAGTCACTGCATGGAACATTAAGCGTGGAGGTGACTAACAGTCACCTGCAGAATAATAATCTACTTGACAGTAATTTCCTTCTCTTCAGGTGAGGTCACCCTCTCCCTAGCACAGCCTGTGCCATGGAGACATGCACTCCAAAGTAGAACAGAAGCTAAAGGTCAGCCTGCCAGTCAAACCCAGAATTTCAATACATACCAACATTTACATTTTGTGTTTTTTTAAAATCCCATTCCCTGGTACAACTATAAAAAACATGAAGTGAGGTTTTTCACTATAAAAACTCAGGGAGAGCTGAGCACGGTGGTACACACCTGTAATCTCTGCACTCAGGAAGCTGAAGCGGAAGGACTATTGTGAGTTTGAGGCCTGCCTAGAATGCACAGTAAGGCCCTGCCTCAAAAAGAAACCCCCCATCTGGCCACACACAAGATAAGGTCTAAACCAGCTGCCCCTTAGGAATCTATTCAACCCAAGGTTCCAGATTTTTTTTATGGCTAACCTAAAGCGCTCTAAAAAATGTGTAGCTATCTTTTGCTTACTAGAGGACATATCATCTATTTTAAATTATTTACAAAATTAATTGAGTTTTTTTGGCCAAGCACAATAATGCCTATAATCTCAAACACTGAGAAGCTGAAGCAGGAGGACCTTAGGTTTGAGGACAGTTTGGCAACTTAGGAAGAACCTGTCTCAAAATGAAAAATGAAAAGGAATAGGGTGTATCTCAGTGGTACAGCACTTGCCTAACATGCTTAAGGCCTTGTCTTCAATCCTCAGCACTAGGGGAAAAAAATTTTCCATCTGCCTTCCTAAAACGACCATATTTTTGCTCTTAGAATAAGCAGAAGTGGAAAGCCTGAGAGAAGAAAAGGTTAAATGAAACCACTGCCATAACTAACTGGGAAGTGCTCAGAGCAGTAGTTTCCAAACACAGAGTAAAAGATAAAACATGTAGGTGCAAAAGGAAAATTAAAAATTTCTATTTCCAAAAAAAAAAAAAAATTTCTATTTCCTTTAATCTAAAAAGTTAGAAAAAGGTAAAACTTGCAGTATTTAATAAATAAACTGAAACTGAACTCTTCTGTTAGCCACATGGCATAAAGGTCACATGCTGTATTTAGCATCACAGGTTACTTGAGGGAACATGGGAATTCATAGCAAGCAGGGGTTTACACTGAGGCCTTCATTCACTCAGCTGCTTGCGGCACACTATGATTTAATGAAGTTTGTGTGTTCTGGGCTGAATTTATGGATTACATTATCTAGTTTTAAAAAAAAAAAAAAAATCAATCCTCACAAAATTGACCAGTATCTTTAAAAGAGTAATTCAGAGAAACCATGGTCAAAGAAAGTATTAGTAAACTATACCAACGTAGGAGAAAAAGCAGAAAACAGCTGAGAAGATGATTCTCCTAACTGTATTATGAACTTCATCAGCTACATACAAAAGCTAAATTTAACAATGACTTAATACAAAGCTGACAAGAAATTAGCCAAAACTTTTTGGTATTTAAATGTCGCATCATTAACTTCTTTTGTTGCTTAAAACCTGGGTGAGTTTTGTATGTATCACTTATCTGCTCACATTTAAAACTATGAAGACAGAATTTCTAACTTATTTCAAAATCTATGGAGACACCAACCTAAGGACTGTGCTCTTACTGACATCTGCTTTTCTCATCTATCCACAGAGCAACACCAGAGCACATCCCCGCTCTACCTGAGCTGTCTTTGCTGGCTCTGCAGGGGGTGGGAGTGAGACTTGAGTTGGCTGTGTAGGCATCTGCCCAGCTGGCTGAGGTAGATGAGCAGAAATCTGTTCTGGAACCTGGAGCAAAGTACCCATGGGATCAGCTGTTGAGAAGAGCTGTAACAAAACCACACACGCAACATTTGAGTAGAAAGGGAGATCCTTACAGGGTGACATATGCATGGTAATTTTTTTTCCCCCCAAACAACAGCATTTGAGAACCAAAGTACCACTGTACTGGCTTTTGTCACTTCTCTGAATATATTCCAAATGAAGTCAAGTACTTCTAGGGCTTTATATTTTAACATGTTTCTGAGGAATACTTAGATCTTTTAAAATTCATTCATTTTAAATGTATAAATTATTTTACTCAATTTCTAGAACTGTATGAGTTTTACCATAATCTAGTTTTACAAAACTTTTTTGTTTGTTTGTTTTTGGTACCAGGAATTGAACTCAGGACCTTGGGCTTACCAGGCAGGCACTTGTGCCACTGAGCTATATCCCTGGCCTTAAGAAAACCTTTATCACCCAAAAAGTTGTCATGTACCCTTATAGTCAATTCTTTCATACCCAACCCTAGGCAACAACTGTCTACTGTAACTTTGCCTTTTCTGGACATTTCATACAAATAGAGAACACAGTACGTGGTCTTTGTGTCCAGCACTATGCATGGTATTTTTAAACAAACATCCCATCCCTTTTCCCAGTAAAACAGCACCTCTAAAACACAGATTTAAGTGTGTGAAGAAGCTACATTTTTCTATGTATGGTGCTATGGTTGGAATATGGCCTGTCCCTGCCAAAACTCACATGGAGGTTTAATCCCCAAATATAACGGTACTGAAAGGGACAAATAAGACCTCTAAGCCAGCCAGTCATGGTGACACACATCTGTAATCATGGCACTGGAGAGGCTGAGGCAGGAAGATTGCCAAGTGTTTGAGGCCAGCCTGAGTTACAGAGTAACTTCAAGGCCAGCCTGAACTACAGTATAGCAAGACCTTGTCTCAAAAAACAAAATTAAAACAAACAAAAAAAAGACCTTTAAGCACCTGGGTCTAGAGGGAGGTGACTGGATCATGACCATTCTTTTAAAGGGATTAATGCTGGGCTTGCAGCAGTAGGTTCACTCCTACGAGAGCAGGTTGTTTTTAGACAAAGTCTGGCACCTTCTGTTCTTTTGCTTTCTCTCTTGCCATGTGACTTCTTTTACATAAGCTCCCACTATGTGCAGCTACCTGCTTTAAGACAAACAAAAGACCCTCTCCAGAGGCTAACCAGATGTGGCCAAACATCTTACACTTGTAGACTTTCAGCTTCTAAAACTGAGCTAACTAAATCTCTTCTTAAAGACAAGTAATTACCCAGCTTCAGGTATACTGAGATATGTGAGGTTTTCTCTTACTTGAAAAAATAATTAAGCAATAACTCCTTAGTATAGCTGAAATGCATTTCAAAATGGACATGAAGTTTTGTAATTTATACCATATTATTTTAATGTTTACAAATATTTCATAAATTTTAATGATGTAATTTTGGGAAAAAGAATTGATGTTGTGTACAAAAAACAAGTTAATTCAATTCAGAATTGTAAGTGAGTGGAAAAAATATCAATGGCCAAAATTCAGAATTGATAAATTTTTAAAAGTTCAAAAATCAGTAATAAATTAGCTGATATTATATAAGTAAAATCCAAGAGACTGGGGAATAAAATTTTGTGTTCATCTGACTTTAGACATAAAAGGAAGTAAAAAGTTATTCACTGGTGCCAGGCATGTTGTCAGGTGCCTGTAATCCCAGCACACCAGCAGGATAACGCAGGAGGATCATGAATTCAAGTCCAACCTGAGCAACTTAGTGAGACTCTGTCTCACAATAAAGAGCTGAGGATATAGTTCACTGCAAAGGCCTTTGGGTTCATCCCTAGCATCAAGAGAAAAAAAGTTATTCACTGGTTCTTTTGATAGCAAAATAGTACTTTAGGCCAGGCTCGGTGGTGCACGCCAATAATCCCAATACTCAGGAGGCTGAAGCAAGAGGATCGCTGTGAGTCTGAGGCCAGCCTGAGCTACACAGTAAGTTTAAGGCCAGCCTGGGCTACATAATATATTCAAGGCCAGCCTGAACTATACAGTGAGACTCCATCTCAAAAATTAATTAATTAATTAAAAAATTAAAGAAAATGTTAATATACTAGTGTTATTTTTAAAAGTTAGCTTTCAATTATATGCACGTACACTGCACATATATATTTATAGTAAAGACAAAAGGGACATATAAAACAAAGTATTAAGCACATGTGGAAAAGCTAGACTATTACAGTACACTGTTGGTGGGAATGTAAAATAATATAACTGTTCCTCAAAAAAATAAGCAGAGAATTAATGTATTACCAGCAATTCCACTTCTAAGAATGTGAGATCAGAGTGTTGAACAAATATTTATATACCTACGTTCAGAGCACCACTATTCACAACAGCCAAAGACAGAAGGCAACTCAAATGTTCATTGAGAGATAAATAACATTTAGGATATGTGTGTGCACACACACATATGTGTGTGATGCAACATTATTCAGCCTTGAAATAGAAGACTATTCTGACATGCGACACACGGTGAACCTTGAGGTCACTGCACTAAGTGAAATAAGCCAGTCAGAAAAGGACAAGTGCTGTGTGATTCTACTTATATGAAGCACACAGAGTAACCAAACTAGAGTCAGAAAGTGGCAGAAATAGTGACTGCCAAGGTACAGGTTAAGAAGAAATGGAGAATTACTATTCGGTGCACAGACATTTAGCTTAGAAAGATGGAAAAATTCTAGAAACAGATGATAGTGGTGGCTGCACTGCAATATGAATGTACTCAATATCACAACTGAAAATGATTAAGATGGTAAATTTATGTTTTATGAATTTTATCATAATTAAAGTAAAAGCAAAGTAATGGACATCTAATCATGAAGATGCAATGGAGAAAAATTTTAAAAACTCAGGATAATCTGTAAAGTACTTTCTCATCTAATTTCTGAGAAATTAGTCAATGGTAGGTTAAATTAGATGTAATCTAAGGTCCCAGACTAAAACAAAAGAAGTTATTTCTTGCACATACTTTGAGTATCCCTGACCAGGAGGGATTAAGAAACTCAGTTTGCCCCTCATTCAGGGACACAGGTCCTTGTTGCAGGGTTAAGGAAACACAAGGAAAACCAGTGATGCTTCCTTTTAACTTCTCACTGTCCAAAAGACACAGCCATGCATCATTTTTTAAGGGTTAGGGAAACATAATTCTATCATATGTCTGTTAGACACTAGCCTACTATTAATAGTTAAGGTATAGAATTTATTTTGAGCCTTAATATATTTCTACCTATTCAAATCATGTACATAATATTATATGCATATGTGTACACTATATATGTTTAAGAGCCTTTAAACCAATATTGAGCTGAGAATGGAAAGCTTTATCAGAAGAAAGAACACAACGAAACCATGAAATGACGTTTCTTCAGGTAGGGAGAATAAGGCAAGCTGGCCCCAAGCAGCTAAGCTTAACTGTCTCACTTTAACTGGTATGGGAAGCACTTAGTGAACTCGTAAAGCACACTTCTGGGCATGTCTCGGTGGTTATGGAGGTCTGGCCTTGAGTGCTATGTCTGGTCCCTCTGTCTGGTCCCCTGTTCTGCTTCCCAACTTCCATGAGCTAAGCATCTTTGCTCTGCCACACCCCTAAGTCATGATGGCTTTACCTTGGAGCCAGCTGACCATGGACTGAATTTCTTGAAAACATGAGCCAAGTTAAATGTCTCATTTAAGGATGTGGATGTCATGTATTATTGTGTCTCAGCCACAAGAAAGCTGGTCAATACACATGGTCTAACTGGGTTCTGTTTAGCAGGATTTCCTATCACACTGAGGCAGTAAGGACAGAAAACAGAATCCTTGACAAGAAAAAGGTTGACGGGCCGGGAATATAGCTCAGTGGCACAAGCACCTGCCTGGCAAGCACAAGGTCCTGAGTTCAATTCCTGGTACCACAAAAAAAAAAAAAAAAAAAAGGCTGAAAAGGACAGGTAGCAGTATGACAAATTCCTGGGAAGATTAATGCAAACAAAACAGCATTCCACTTCAAGTGGCAAAAGTCAAAAAAGCAAGTCATAAGAAACAAGAACATTCTAGGCACTCTATCCAACTTTTAAAACTTAGCTAGTATGAAGTCTCATTTGCATTTAGGTAGGCCACACACATACAAAAGGCACTTATAATTAAAATGAAAATAAAACAAAATCATATATTTTAGCAAGGATTCAGTAATTTTGCTTACCTCAGAATTTGTTAATGGTTCTTTCACCCGAGGAGACTAAAAGAAATTTAAAAAAAAAAAACATGCTCATTAACTCTGAACTTAGGTTACTTATACTCAGTTCCAAGTAAACGCAAGTAACATTTAATGCAAGTCAACTCATTTCATTCTGATTCACGACACTCACAAGCAACTTGAAAGTTTTCTGCAAAAAAGAAAATTGTCATATTATTGTATTTTTTGCCCAAGTAGCCTGAAATGAAATGTGTCAATATGCAAATCATATTTTAAAGTTTCCCAACTTCAGCTATATAAGCAAACATGATCAAACTGTCACAGTTCTCCAGCAGTAGGGAAGACACACTAAAAGTAAAATTCTTTCTACTAATCATGAATATATTATGTGCCTAACATTTGATCAAACCTAAACCTTCAAACTAGTTATCCAACGTATTTTCAAAGCACAGTAATTCTGATTATGGGCTTAAATAGGAGAAAAGCCTTGTGCCAAACTGAAGAACAATAATCTGAACGATGCACTTCAACAATCTACTATCTAAAAAAGGTCAACTGAAATATGTAGTAGTGATCACTAGAAGCTGGGAGACCATGGGTGCCAACTTAACTAACAGATACCCAAACACATACAGTAAGTTCTATGTTCTACAGCAGTGGTCCTCGGCCTTTTGGCACCAGGCGCTAGCTTCATGGAAGATAACTTTTTCACACAGTGGGTGACAGTAGTTTCAGAAGCAGATTACATATACTGTACACTTCAGTTACATTATTATTACACTGTAATATATAATGAAATAATTATACAACTCACCATAATGCAAAATCACTTACCATTCCCTAACATGTTTTTATATGAGTTTGCAAGTAACTGATTTATTATGGTCTCTGTGCAATGAAACCTCTCTGCTAATGTTACTCTGTATTTGAAACTACACCCCAGCATCACAGCCTCAGCTCCACCTGTATCATCAGGCATTAGATTCTCATAAGGAGTAAACAACTTAGATCCCTCAGCTGCACAGTTTAGGTTGGGGCTCCTATGAAAATCTAATGCTGCCACTTATCTGATAAAGAGGCCCAGCTTAGGCAGTAATGTGAATGAAGGAGAGCAGATGAAACAAATGAAGCTTCCCTTACCTCTCACCTCCTGCTGAGTAACCTGATTACTAACAGGCCACACACAAGTACCATGGGGACTCCTATTCCACAGAACAATGAAGTGAATACAGTTCAAAATAACCAAATACACATTTTATGCGTAACTACAAGAGAGAGGCTTGACATCTCCAACAACAATAATGACTGAAATGTTAATTGCCCTTATTTGATCATAACTAATACATGTATCAAAATATTGCATTATATCCTCTAAACATGCAATTATTATATATTAATCAAAATATTTAAAAGAAATGTTTAAGCAAAAAAATGTTAACTATCCCAATTTGGTAATTACATACTAAATATATGTATCTAATCATCACACTGTAATCCATAATTTTGCACAATTAAAGTAACTTTTTTTTTTTTTTTTTTGAGACAAAGTCTCACTCTGCAGTTCAGGCTGGCCTTGCACTCAGTTTGTAGCCTTGGCTGGCCTCGAACTTACAGTGATTCTCCTGCCTCAGCCTTCCAAATGCTGGGACTACAGGTATGTACCACCACACTCACCCAAATAATTAACTTTTTATTAAGGGAAAAATGTCTATTCCCCTTACTCTTGTTGCTAGCTATTTGGAGACTGGTACATAAATGTGAGTAAAATAAAAAATATTAAGAATGGCAACAGGAAATAAGTTAATATATTAATACAAAATAAGGTGAAGTCTCAAATACCTGGTCTACACCAAGATGTATTTGAAAATGACTGATATGCTTCGCCATGAAAGTCTAAAAAAAGCTAAGTTTACTTGGTAAATCATAACATCTTGTAGTACTTCTGGATCCAAACGCTGCTTAACAAAAAACACTCACCTCTTAAGAAATCCAACCAACTATGGATTTAATCAGACTACTTGAAAGGTCAACTATGGTTTTCAAATTTTTCACCATCATTTTATTAATGAGAATCAAGGTCCAGGAAAGGTTTAGATAAAAGCTTATGTATCACACCAAGTGGCCAGCCAAAACCTTTTTAAAAAATTTTATATTTACAAATAATTTTAAGTTTTCTTTGTTGCTATTTTTTTTTTTTCAGAAAAGGTGTGAAAATAAGCACAATACCCAGAACAATATAATAATCTATTTGAATTCATCTACTATTAACCTTTTTCTCTCTTCTATCCTGAAGTTATTTTCTCTTTTTCTAAAAACTTATACATGTGTTTTCTGTACCATTTGAGAATAAACTCCATATACCATGACTATTTATCATTAAATAGAAAATGTATTTTCTTAGATATTTTCTTTCATAATCACACTACAGCAGTAAGCCCCAGTAAATTTAAGAGCGATACAATATTTTTATCTAATTAACTGTCTATCATTCAATTATCAGTTAACCATGTTCTTTCTAGTCTTGTGTTTTAGTTAGTTCTGTCTCTTTATAAAATTTTCAAAATCTGGAACATCAACAGTTTTGAAAAACGTAGGGCTGGAGATGTACCTCAGGGGTAAAGCACTTGCACAGCATACAAGGGCTGATCAAAAAATATGGTGTAGGCTTAAATTTTAAAATTTAGAAGGATCTGAAGCAAGAATTGAAGCCCATGGGGAGAGCGAAAAGAGAAACTTCAACAAAGAAGAAGGAGGTAGCCAGCAGAGCCTTCTCCCTGACTTGGAAGTCATTGCCTGGGAGGAACAGTTTAAATCTAGGGACACACAGTGACTGCTGGCAACACCAGGGCCCTCCACAGAGAAGCACAGCAGTGGAAGGAAACAGCACACAATGAAGGACTGCACTAGCTGGGTTTGAGTGCTGCGGGCTCAAACTTTCCTCAGGAGAGGGCAACTGGTGGGGAGCCATCGTGGAGAAGGCCCAACTGAGCTCAGAACTTAAAACAGCTGCTGGGTCCATCTAACAGCTTCCAGCTGAGTTCAAGCCTGCAGAAGGTGCCCTGATGGCTGTAGGGTGAATGAGTCTGCTCCCAGCCTCACAACCAGAAACCAGCCTTAACTTCAGGGGAAATAAAGGTGCAGGCTCACTGAGATTACCCACTACTCCACCAAAAAGCTACTGCTGGTTTGCTGACATAGATCAACACAGATCTGGATTCTGTCACCATATGTTGTCTACCAGTGACAGCAGAGATAAACCTTGAAGTAGACTTTTTTCTCTCTTCCTCTTTTATTGCTTTGTTTTTTCTCATTCACTGTATGATCTTGTTGTTATGAGTGTGAACATGCTTTCTAGCTTCTTTGTGGTTGCTGATCTGTTCTTTTTATTTCGCCCTTTTCTCTATCCTTCTTGTCTTCTGCACCAATTTCCTAAAGTTTGCATGATCCCCATTTGTCCTCTAGCCTTGCTTCTAATCTCTTCCTCTTCTATTTCTCTATTTTTTCCCTAACCCCTTTTAAATTTTCTTCCCTGAGGGTAAAATTGGCATATTGAGGACTTATTTACTGCATATATTTTCCTGGCTTATTTTAGATTTTGTTTTTTAACCACAAATCTAGTTCACACAGTTAAAGGTAGCAAACTAATAGTTACCTCAGTTTGTCATTTTCTAGGCTGTGCTGGATGCTATTGTTATTGCTGGTAGTACTACTTTAGCCAAAGTGATATAACTGATCCTGGTATACCAAGAAAAACACTGACTAAAGGTCATACAAAATACTGTGGCCCAGCGTGAAAGATTAAGGGGATGGGTCAAGCAGGCAGAAACTTCTCATCCCCAACAAATTTAAAAGATAAGATCTCACAACAGACTCAAAATCTAAAAACCAGCTACACCTGGAAGACACCTCTGAGAAGTAGTCATTTCCTAAGGGTTCTAAATACTAGGAATAAAGCAACTCACCAGAGGCAATTTATAAGCATTAACTTAAGAATTAAATGAAAAAAAAAAAAAAAAAAAGAAGAAAGAAAATGAGAAGACACTTAAACAAGATGCAACCCTAGACATCCAGTCCACGAAAGGCAAACCCAGGGAGCAATGAAGGGACAATGCAAAAGCCACCCACCTTGCCTCTCTGAAGTGAGACTCCAGAAAAACTCAAATCACAAATAATGTCAGATAACTAGAGATGGGGACCATAATGAAAATGATGCTTAGTGACTCTAAAGCAGATACCAATAAAAAAATAGAGGAGCTTAAGAAAATGATGGACCACCACAAATGTTAACATAGTAAACAAATGGAATCCATAAAACGGATTCAAGCAAATAACCAGAATAAAAATTCCCCTGAAAGTATCCACAGCAGAATCAGCCAATGTGAGGATAAAATCTCAGATATAGAAGACAGGCTTATGGTTAGCAATTGGGAAAAGAAAAATTTCTTTTCTTTTTAATATTTTTACTTTTTGAAGTGATATTGTTTATTTATTTATTTTTTGGTACTGGGAACTCTCAGGAACTTGCGCTTGCCAGGCAGGCACTGTGCCACTGAGCTATATCCCAAGCCCGAACAATTTCTTTAAAATAGCAAAGACATGAGAAATCAATCCAGCAATGGCTAGATGATGCAAAGAAGAATAACATAAGAAAATGAAAAAGCAGGAGACAGCACAAATGATATAAAACACCTGTTCACAGATGTCATGGCAGAAAACTTCCCTGGCAGAGGAAAAGAATTTGACCTACAGTTAAGAAAGGCATACAGAATCCCAATTAGCCATGATTTGGTGGGGGATCTACAGCCAAGAATATCATAGTCAAGATTCCAGAAATTAAGTACAAGAATAGACTATTAAAAGCTATCAGAAAAAAACAAATCACCTACAAAGGAAAGCCCATCAGAATCACAGCTGACTTCTCAACACAAAGCCTCAAAAAATGAGTTTGGAGTGAAATATTTAAAGTTCTCAAAACAAATTCCAACCCAGACTGATGTACCTACAAAACTATCTTTCAAAATTTTTTTTTTTTTTGGTTTTTC